TGAACACAAATACATAGTTTATCTGTCTTGTTCGTAGTATCCGGTACTTGTTATTGCTAATTATTGCCTTAAAAACGCTAATTATGATATCTTCAAAGGCGGCACTCTTGTGAAGTAGCTTTGCATATTGCCGTGTATTATCAACCTTTTGTTTTCCGATCGATCGTAAAGATGTAAAGTCCTTTAATGTTAGCGCTCCTCAAGAGCTGTTTATAGTCATTTTACTCATTCAAAACTAATCTATTTGTGGATTAGCAGGTATATGTAAATAATTAGATTGGTAGATATCGTGTGGTGAACCATGCTCAGACTATTCATTTAGCCCATAAGTGTGAAGCCTTTCTTCACCTCAATTGTTCATCATCGCTCTCTTGATCATAGGAGTTTTTTTTTTGAGATATAAATTTATGAAGCAAGGTGGTGCAGTTTTTTCATTTATTTCCGGCAGCATTGGCTGTTGAGAATTTCATCCATAAGAAAGGTAAAAGACAGCAAGATAAGAGAAAAATGACTTTAGCGCATGCAACCAACATTTTATGATATAAGCATCTTTTTTTCTGGATTTACTGGTCGACGCAATCAAAGATTCGTTTAAGCGGAGGCAAAATTCTATTTGTGGGATTTTACGACAAAAATGTTGCAATTTATTTCAATAAATTACAAAAATAGACCTGCACCCTGCTAACCACTCTGCAGGTAGTCATCAACTCAACTGAAAGCTGACTGGGCAATGGGGTTTTAGTCCCTTTGCTCTTCATTAAATGGAATCATGGACTTTTGCCGCAAGCGATAAAAAGAATAGATAAAAGCTCATTTGAACCAAACGATATCCTCTCATGGTCGAGGTTTGTCATGAAAATATTTGTGAAACGCGGGCGATAACACTTTTAACTAATTTCGTCCGGATACGAGTAAGATGGAGCAAATAATTCCATTTAACTCCATTATGGACTTTAGGGACCAGATTTCTGGACCTGAAGTAATTGGACTTTCTCTCCTTTTTTTCTTGCTTGTATGTATCTATTTTATTGTTGATATGTTGTGTTTTTGACATGACTGGAACCACTTTATTAAGGGGAAATCAATCATTATATACAAACGAATCGGTTCTTCATTACGTACTTTTTGCTATTAAGAAAGCTAAGCTTTACTAATTACTCTGCTTCTATTTCTTTTTCTTCCGAGATGCTGACCTAAAAAGTTTCAATTTTATTAGTTCTTAGAAAAAATCCATAGAATTTTGTATTAAAGACAAACCCTTTCGTATTTTTCTTCCTTCTGAAAGAAGTAGTGTTCACTTCAAAGGGGAAATTCTATTAAGTCTTACTGTTTGGACTAACTTGGATCCCGCCTGACTTGCTTTACTTGCCGCTGGTGGCGTGAAGTAGTTTTCGAGAGGAGTGGGTTTTGGTTGTACAAGGTAACCAGGTACTTGTCCCAATCCACCCCCAGCTGCAGGCTTATCACCTCCCTTTTTCACAGCTTTTCCTGCTGAACTTCCTTTGCCCTTTTTCCCCGATTGTACACCACCTTTGGGTGGATTTGCGGGAGGTGGAAGAGCGAAAAAATTCGCTTGCCGTGGAGGGGGAGTACCTGGAAATGGGGAGTGAAAGTTCGGAGGCGGTGGAGGTGGAGCCGGAGGTGGCGGTGGAGCAG